ATCTATCCATCTATCTAACATCTCTCTCTCATCTGTCTGTCTGTCTGTCTATCTATCTATCTATCTATCTATCTATCTATCTATCCATCTATCTAACATCTCTCTCTCATCTGTCTGTCTGTCTATCTATCTATCTATCTATCTATCTATCTATCTAATTTCTACATTGCCAATCACTCTTAACCAACGGAGCAGTTCAAAAATCCACATTATAAAGTAATATAAAATGGTATTAAAAAGCATAGTTAAGAATGGAGTTCACAAAATACGGTTTTGACAAGCCTAAAGTAAAAATCAAAGATAAAACGTTTACAAGGCTAAAATTGAATTAAGTGAACTCGGGATTGTTTTTCTGAGTGACAGCACACCAGTGGTGCATAACTCCAGTTCTTTCCACTGATATTCAGAAGGCGTCATGAAATTCTGATTATAATGGAATTTCTTTCCCTCTAGTACAATCTCTCAGACATTATAAGAAGAAGCAAACAGTCTTGCTGCTAAGAAATAGAGAGCTGATAGGAGGCTAAGAAGAAGAAAAAATGATTACTACACATAAGAATATTGATCGAAGAGGATATTTGTAGCCCAGGGTTGAACTATGGGGTCCTTGGTGGTCTCTGAGCTTGGTAGTTTTCTTGTTGACATTTCATGACCCAACTAGGTGATATCATCAGTGTTAGAAGGAGGGTTTGCTCTCTTGTTTATATACAAATGTCTTTTGTTGTCAGTGATGATGGAAACGGTTTTTTCTTGGTGGTTCCTTGATTCAATTGTTTACTGTTTGCTTGTTTGTCTGAGTTGGTAATTCCTTGATTGGGGTATTGTTTATTACTGTAAAGTAAAATAAAAATAAAATAGAAACATTAAATTAAAAAATAAAATAAAAAAATAAGCCAGTTTTGGAGTGGATTGCAAGCATCCTGAATGGCTGGAATTTAGCTTTCTTGTTTCAATTGATTTAGTTTTATACTTTCAATATGATTTTATATGTCTTTCCATGTTTAATTGGGACTCATCCAGAGTTCTTTGAAAGATAGACAGCTATATAAACATTTGAAGTAAATTAAAATAAAAAGAGATATAACCAAATAAAAAAAATAGCAATGAAACAAAATATAGCGTACAATGAAATAATAATTAAGTAAAAATAAAATAAAAAGTAGCAATGAAGTAAAATATAAAATAATCTTCAGATTTCTTTGAAAGATTGGGCAGCTATATAAATGTTTTAAATAAAATAACATAAATAGAAATCAAATAATATCAAATAAAAAAATAGAAATCAAAATCAAATAGCATAATAAAGTAAAATAAAAAAAGAAATGAAACAAAACGAACTTCAAATAACAAAACAAAAAAATAGAAACAGAACAAAGTAAACTTAAAATAAGAAAACAAAAAAAATAGAAACAAAATAAAATTGTAAAAATTTGGGGTGCAAATTTGCAAGCACCCCCAATGGCTCAAGTTAGTTTTTGCTTGGTTTTTTTCCCCATAAATCACCTCTGCGGTCATAGAGGTCAGTCCCTGCCTTATCTTTCCTTTCGTGTGTTTGTCAACTGGTCTCCCTTTTTTTTTTACACAATGTTTATTCCAGGTGCCTTAAAGAGGAGGCTGACTGCAGAACAAGTCGGAGCAGATCTTATCACCCTGGGTAGGTCTCTCTCTTAAGTTCTCCGTCTGAAGGGCTACCGGGGCTTTACTGCTCCAGTTGACCATCTTCAATTTCTCCTGCAGGGCTGAGCGATGAAAAGGCCAGGTATTTTGAAGAACAGGTAAGCGCTTTCATCCAGGGGCCAGGATCAACATTTGCATTTTAAACCACCCCCTACAACATTGCAGAGGGAATCCAAGTCTTTTTTTTTTTACAAACTTGGAACCTTAGTTTTTTTCCCCCCCTATTTTCTGGCTGTAAAAAGGAGTATCTGTAAATGTGGTTTCTCCCTTGAAAATTCCTAGGTAGTTTTAGAAGGCCGTGTCTCTCAACTTTGACCACTTTAAGAACTTTAAAACATGCTGGCTGGGGAATTCTGGGAGTCAAAGTCCATCCATCTTAAAAGAAACATTATTCTAAGGTTAAAAAAATCACGCAAGTCTGTGGGATCATTGCGTGAACAATCACATCGTGGTTATTTGGCAAGTTAATTTTGGGTTTGGTTCAATCAAACCAGTTGACTTAACTCTTTACACTGTAGGTAAGTGCTGTAAACAAACCATCCTTACTTACTGCACTGTGTGAACGCAGCCAGCAGGTTTCAATGGAAATTTGCCACGATATAAAAAAAAAAATGTTGAGACTCTGGAAAGAGGGCAGAGTAGAGCAACCAAGATGATTTGGGGACTGGAGGTTAAAACATATGACAAACGGTTGCAGGAACTGGGCCTGGCTAATCTAGTGAAGAGATGGACCAGGGGAGACATGAGAGCAGTTTTCCGATATTTGAGGGGCTGCCCAGAGAGGAGGAAGAAGTCAAACTATTTTCTAAAGCACCCGAAGGCCAGACAAGGAATAATGGAAACTGAAAAAGGAGAGATTCAACCTAGAAATAAGGAGGAATTTTCTGACATGGGGAACAATTAAATCAGTGGAATGACTTGCCACCAGAAGTTGTGAATGGTCCATCGCTGGGAGTTTTTAAGAAGAGATTGAACAGCTGTTTGTCTGAAATGGTGTAGGGTTTCCTGCTTGAGCAGGAGGTTGGACTAGAAGACCTCCAAGATCCCTTCCAACTCTGTTACTCTGTTCTGAAATTGTGCCTGCAATTGCAATGATGGTGAATTCACTTATTCGGATAAAACAAAAATATAAAACTTAGTCCCAGCTGTTCCTCAGCTTCAGGGAAATCCCCTTGCATTCTTCAAACCCAGAGGTCTACAAACTTGGCAACTTAAAAGTTTCTGGGCGTTGAAATCCACAAGTCTTAAAGTCGGCAGGTTTGGGAACCCCTGTTCAAACTCCATGAAGTGGAACCCTGTATTCAAACCATCGCTTATTCCACCCTTGTCTTTTTGCCTTCATCCCAGTGGAAGGAAAATTATCCTGCCCTCTCGCGCCTGGCTGTGGGGCAGACGCTGATGGTTAACCAGCTAATAGACATGGAGTGGAAATTTGGAGGTCAGTTCTTTTCTGGGGTTGGGGTGCGGGCAGAGCGGGGTGGCCTTTGCCAATCCCTTTGTATAACATTTTGTTGCTGTTTTTTTCCTCTCTCCTGAATAGTGACGGCCGGAAGCAGTGAGCTGGGGAAAGTAGGAAGCATTTTCCTTCAGGTAAGACGGTTTTGGGGAAGGGTGTCATGATCCAAAGGGGCATGGCACAAAAGCAACACAGTCAGATAATCAACAAGAGTCCCTTTATTAGCTCCAACTTTGCCCCCAATGTCCTGGTTACCTTCTGGGCTGGAGAAAAACTCCCAGGAACAGCTTTTGGCTGCAGCGAATCAAATCCAAAACTTGATCAACAAAAACTATAACTAAAAGTCCAATCAAGGCAAAATGAGGTCATTAGTCCGGCAGGGCAGGAGCAAGAATTCCAGACGTGAAGGAAGGGCGGTAATTCAACCTGGTTGGGAAGACGCCAGGAATACAGATAAGCAAAGTCAACACAAGATAAACTCACGTTTGTTCCCAGCAGAAACTGCACTCTGCTTGGATCTCTTTTAAATTCTCATTCCCAGGTATGGCTAATGAAGGGAATCAGGGCCCTTTCCTCCCCCATAAGCTACACCACCCACGTTGCTCCCTTCTCCGTTCCTCCCTGCGTGCCCTAGGATAAAGATGGGGTGGGCCTGGGTCTTCCTCTGAATTCCCTCTCCCTTTTTCTACCTTTCTCCTGCTCTGCCCAGCCAGACTTTGCCCTTCCCCAAGGGACCTTGGAGGTCATCTAGTCCAACCCCCCTGCCTATACCACTTCAGACAAATGGTTATCCAACATCTTTTTAAAAACTTCCAGTGTTGGAGAATACATACAGGTAGTCTTTGAGTTATAACAGTTCGGTTTAGTGACCGAAGTTACACAACAGCACTAAAAAAAAAGGAACTTTTTACATTTACGACTGTCGTAAGCATTCCCGTGGTCACGCCATCAAAATCCGGATGCTGATTTCCCCCCCCCCCCCTTTATACCCAGGTAGTTCTCGACTTACAACTATTTTGTTTTTGTGGCTGTTCGAAGTTGCAGCGGCACTGGGAAAAAAAAAAGGCACCAATGTTTTTTTTTTTCAACTGAACAGGCGTGGGGATTACTTAACCACTGCAGAGATTCACTTAGTGACGGTGGCAAGAAAGGCTGTAAAAGGGGGCAAAAAGGACTTAACCACCAACTCGCTTAGCAGTGGAAATTTGGGGCGTGGGTTGTGGTTGTAAATCAAGGACTATAAGCTCTTTTCTGTCCATATTTTCCCCCAAATGGACAAATATTCAAACTTCCCTTCCCCATATTCTAGCAAATACAGAATAAATTTTGGCTAGTCTAGAGGAAAGGAGGATTGTGGGGAACATGATAGCAGTATCCCAATATTTGAGGGGCTGCCATAAAGAGGAGGGGAGTCCAGCTATTCTCCAAAGCCCCTGAAGGTAGGACAAGAAGCGACGGATGGAAACTAATCAAGGAGAGATTCAACCTGGAACTCAGGAGAAACTTCCTAACAGGGAGGACACTTAACCAGTGGAACTGCTTGCCACCAGAAGCTGTGTGTGCTCCATCCCTGGAGGTTTTCAAGAAGAGATTGGACAGCCCTTGGTTTGAAATAGTATAGGATCTCCTGCTTGAGCAGGGGGCTGGACTAGTAGACCTCTGAGGCCCCTTCCGACCCTTGTTATTCTGTAATTCTGTAAGGGTCTCCTGCCTGAGCAGGGGGCTGGACTAGATGACCTTCAAGGTCCTTTCCAACTCGATTCTGATTGAATCTTGAATTTCCCCCCTTGTATCTTCCAAGTATTCCCCAGTGGGAGATTCCAGGGGTTGCTTTTTGGGGGGTTTCTAACATCTGCCTCCTTTGCTGTAAGTCACCCCACTTTTCACGACCTTTCATCTCCTTGTAGCTGAAGCTGGTGGTTAAGAAAGGCAGCCGGTTGGAACCAGTATACCTAGGTGAGTAAGCCAACATTGTCTGTGGGGAAACGCTGAAAGTGAAGAGAGAGGGAGGCGTTGAAGGAGAGCCCAGCCAGCTGCAGAAAATGCAGGTGTTACCTTGACTTACGACTTATTAGTTTGATGACCCTTGGTAATTACAACAGAACCAGGAGTGGCTGCTACCCGGTTCGCCCCGGTTCAGTCAAACCGGTAGCTAATTTTATCACTTTTTAATAGCCGGTTCAGCGAACCGGTAAATCCCACCCCTGGCTGGCTCCACCCACCCCTACCCTTTCCCAGGAGACCCCCACGTGGTCCATTTTGGATGCCAGGTAAGTACAGCACCTGCACGGAGGCTGGGGAAGGGCAAAAAAAATGAGCTTCCAGAAGTCCGGAAACGGGCCCATTTCTGGCCTCCGGAGCAGTGGTCGCCAACCCAGTGGGCCAGAGACCACGGATGGTCTGTGAGAAAATTTGGGTGGTCCGTAGAGAAATGTCCCCCCGCCCCCCAAAGCAATGAATCCGAGTTGCGCCGCCCACAAGGCCCACGGGAACACAAGGCTTGTGTCGCTTGCGTTGCGAACAACACGAGGGAGTGAGGGGAGGGGGGGAAGGGCCAAGTGGCGCAAGCCTTGTGTTCCC